AAGGACCTTCAGTTCCATATTATCTGTTGTGAGCAGATTATGTTTGACTCCCAGCGGTGTTTGATAATACAGTTGGTGGGACGCCACCCGGTAAATGGACGATAACGAATAGTGGACACCGCCTTCCGATGAATGAGAGGACTCTATGTCGAGTGATATTGAAGATATAGAGCATATGAGTAGATTGTAGTCTTCTGTTGGGCCATCGGAAGCTTCGGAGATAGGTAGAACGAATCGAAGAACAGGCTCATGAACCGAGAGCTTGATACTCGCTTTAGGGAGCAACCGGGATATCAGTCGGTGATTGTTTCTCTTCTTCCCACGGGGGGAGGATGTTCTATCTTGAACCAATCCCAGAAGCCGAGAAACATGCCTTGGTTCTAAATCGATGGAAGGAGACGTTACCACAAGATTTGCAAACAGGATATTAGTATTTCGCTCTTCTGGGTTCCATTCACTGAACGAACTGATCGTCTTTGATGGGAGAGTTGTCTTTATGGTTGTAGTGGCCATAGGTATGTAAAGGATATTATCCGTCTCCCCAGAACTGTCGTCTAAACTGACCGAAAGAGAGATGGCAGCGAGGAGGGCTTGATGCGCGACGTCGTTCCGCTGGAAATACATGCGATGGGCGGGACTATTCTGATCCATTCGATGCAGATCAATCCCTATCTCATGGGATATAATGTTCAGATACACGGAACTCTGCTTTGGCGAAGGTGGCTGGATAGCTCGCGATAACCTAAAAAAGCTCAAGGCTATCTGGATTTCATGTATTCCCCGCAACAGAGAGCTGGCAAACTCCTTTGAATCGGCAACGGTTTGGACAAGTGCATCATCCTGGCTTCCAGGTTTGTCCAATTCCTCAACGAAGTCTGCAAAAGACACTTCATCATCTGCTTCACACTTTGAAGCTTCCGAGAAGGATTGCCGGAACTTCTTGATTCTTTGCGCGAGTGTCATCAGATCATCGTAGGGAATATGCATTCTCCCAATCTTTAGAGCAATCGACGCATCCCTAAGCCCTTCAAGATCTTTATGTAGCATCCCATGTACATTGACTCCAATGTTGTCTAGCAATTCTGTTGGTTCTCCTCCTTCAACCGTAAGAAGGACATTTTGCACCGTCATTATCCATTCGGCTGGGCGGTGTTCACCGGATTCATACTTTTTGCGGCGGAATAGCTTCCCTCTGTCCACCATCTTACGTCTAGTGTCCACTGCCAAAGACAGACTTCCCACCTGAATTTGGCCAGCTTCGAGAAAATTGACGGTAGTGTTGACCGCCACAACATCCACCAATTTCAGCCAGTGTATTTTGCGATGTAGCCGCTTCACTTGCTCTTTTAGCTTAGTTAACGTTCTCCAAGTCTTGCTCCGCCCTTGGAAGGAAGCGTTATCTTCATCCTCTGGCGGGGAAGAATCCCCTGGGCTGGTGGGCTCCGATACATCGGGGTGGCTTCCGTTGCGTTTACTCTTGGCCAGAGCTGCGGGGTCCACGGTCACCTTCAAGTCGGTCAACCGAAGGCTCAGCCATGTCGGTTGGGCAAACGAAGGTGGGTGTAAAGACAGTCCAAGGCCACGAAGTTCAATCTGCACTCCTTGCTTCGGGACGTATGCGATGCGGCGGAGAGAAAAATAGCCAATGCGTTGTATGGAGATTCCCGTCGCGATCCGAACGATGGCGAAGATAAGAAACGAGAAGAGGTAGAGGAGAAGGAACCCGACAAGGATCGTGGTCGGGCTGAAGAGCCTCATCGTGGCTCGCGGTCAGGAGGGCTGATCCGTTGAATAGGACAAGTCCAGCGCAACAATTGAACCATCGAGATGCGAGACTAGGAGGCCGTTAATGATTCCGCGGGATATGATCAGGAAGGCCGTCAGATTCTGTGTTCATTCAAGGATTTTTATTTTTTTTTCACGGTGGGGAGCACCTCCGAAGCATTCAATCTTCAAAGGGCTCGAAGCTGGCGAGGGCCAGGTCTCCGTTAAGACCGGAACTGTACACCAGCCGGAGAAGCGACGCAGGAGGTACGTAAGAACTGCGAGTCACTCATGCTTCTGAACTGAGGGGGGAAAGTAAAAGGAAAAGAGAGAGATGCAGTATAGGACAGGATAGGCGACTCGGGTCCGACGAACCATAGATCTATCTAACTTTCATGTAAGCAAAAAGACAAGTCGAGCCAGTCAATCACTAGTCCTTAGTCGTCGAGCTGGTCGCGCGCGGGCAGAACTGGAAGCGGAAAGCCGCCCACTTGGACCCAAACGGGGAGTCTTCTGGTAGGCTTCCGTTCTGGACGGTCGGCTGTCTCGGCTGATTCCTGCTACGAACTAATTGGATATGGTTCCACGCTGCATTTTACCCTTTTCGACCACGCATGTCATATACGTGAGCTGCGATGTTCTGTAAAGTACATACATACGTAGCCCCTATTTCTCGGTACTCTGGTGGGGGGGGTCTTGCCTCATGATTTACATTCTGGGTAATTATGGAGCAGTAGTAGCTCATTCCTGACTGACTTGTCTATTAGTACCTTGCGTTCCGTCACTACTCTCTCTTCATCATGTTACAGACGTTTCATCGGAACAAAGCTTACACCAATCAAGAACCACCTACATAATGACCATAGCGACGTGTCCAATCTCACTAGTAGATACACGTCCATGGGTGCACCTCCCTACATCTTGACTCGCTCGCTTATAAAGATCGGGCCTGTCAGATTCTAAATAAATCCTAATACTATACAGTTTATCGTACAGACCATTCATTTCCCGTAAACTAATATACAAGACGATGTACATATGTATGTCCAAGGGGGCACACTGTAATTTCTGAACTGTCCCCTCCACCCTTTCCTTGAGCAAGTTTTGACTCCTCCACAGAACAGGAGGTCCCGTATTTACGCCGTGGATAGTAATTCATCACATAACTACTAGTGCTCGTATTTATTAAAAGATTCAAGGGTGGAATCCCTTTAAGCAATAAGGGTCGCCGGTATTCATCTGGCTTCGATCCGACAAACGATCGAATGGTCATTTTGACAGAGGACCATCTTTTGGGTGAGAAAGAATACTGATCGATTCTCTGCATTACTTTGGTTCAGGTTTCGGTGGCCCTGCTTCTGATCCACGGGACTTGGAATTTTCAAGTTCTTCAATCTTTTCATCAAGGAGTGCCATCTCAGCCTCAATACTCAGCAATTTTTCGCTTAGAAGCCCTCTATAGTCGTCATCCGAAAGAGACTTGAGAGGGATCCATTTCGAGTCAGCGATTCGCTGGATGATTGGCTTAGATGGAGCATTGGCCTGCTCTATTTGCCATTTGTCGATCGCATTATAAGAGCCTTGGCCCAGATAACCTAGTAACGAAAAAACGACAACCCCTGGAATGAGTCGGCCTCCTGATCGTTGTTCACACGTCAGTCATCGACATCCAATTACCAGCATTTGGCAGTAAAGCTTCAGAGGGCTAAATAGTAAATACCCATTAATCTTGTCACGGCTCCGCCAGCAATTCCTCCTGACAAGGCGCTGACATAAGCTCGTTGTTTCGCAGTGGCATTATCTTCATAATGGAGCTTCAAGATATTGCTCCTTAGCCCTGCAAAGAAAGTTCAACACCAAGAAATTTCCCAACATCTGGAAAGCAGGAGGGTAAGGAGCTTACACCAAAAAGAGGTTCCACAGGCGAACCAATGGATACCACAAGATATAGAATGGATCACTGGGTGACGAGAAGATCGAATGACGCCTGAAATCCCTCCATAGACAAGGCCTGCAGAGCCTGCATGATAAACCAGTAAGCAGCCGGATAACACAGTACATTTTGTCCCCAAAAAAGTGTATCTTTCGAGCGACTGAATCAAGAGGTAGGTTTCTATGAGCAAAGCCAACACTGACCGCTTAGAGCTCCCACCTTCAGGGAAGAGAAAAGAGCGTTAGGTTCTAAGTTCGTATTTTGACTATTCTGGTCACTCATCTTGTGAACCGTCCAGACCGCAAACCAAAAGCTCGAATCAAATCCAGATATATCACTACTACTGCATCTTTTATTGTCTGGATGGGCGAAGGGCGGTAGTGCACGTGATATGTGAGATTATGTAAGGCGATACATATAACTAACTACTAGTTTGTTACGTCGAGGGCACATGACAAGTTATTCTTTCTCTTTTCATAACGATTTTATCCTCCAAGTTATTTAATTTTTGATATATAATGGGTCTTACTTTCTTCATTAAATATATTGCAATTATTAGATGTGAGAGTCCGGTCTGAATATATAGCACCTCAACGGGGTGTGATCAGTATAGAATTGGCGAAGATGTCCTTGGGGAACAATGGAATCCACATTCACCTAGGGTTCCTGACTACCCGAGTCAAAATTCCCAGGGCCCAGCGGTTGCTATGCAGTTCTATGATAGGTTAATTGTTCGTCAATTGTTTATCGAAAATTGCATCAAGCCAACAGGATGCTTCCGTTCGTATACTAAGTACTAGTAGTAATAAAGATTATGGAATGCATCCTGCACGACGGAAATCGTCAAGTACAATTCCAGAACAATGCCATTTGCGTCCAACCTGCAAGGGAAGAGGAGATTAACCGCTTAATGCCAAATGAATTCTTTAGTTGTACAGTTTCAGTGCTATAAATCCCATCAACATTGTCAAAACTAAAATCCTCCTTCGCCGGTCAGAATAAAAAATAATAGAAATAAAAAAGAAAAGCAAAGAAAGAAGGAAAAAAGGTGGGGAGTTCTAGTAGTAGTTTGACCACTTCTCCGCAAAGCGAGGTTGCAAGAAAAAGCCCTCTTCGCGGGTTTGGGTCGAGGCGCAAACCGAAAAGCCGCACCAACACTTTTTGAGGCTGACTTTTCTAGCGTCATCACTAAAAATTATCCTCGCGGATTAACTCACTTTCCCCTCTGTTCTTCACTGCGGAGCTCTCCTGCAAAACCACCCCCCCATTTCACATCGTCTTGTTCAAAACTAGACGCCACCTTTCGCATTCTTACAGTCTTCCGTATCGGAAGTCATTTTATCGATTTCTCAACTCTCCCGTGTGAGACGCGCACAAGTGCTTCCCTTGGCGCGTTTCTGGATTTCCAACAACCGCAATCATGGGTACGTCTCTACCCCTCTCAGGCATAATTACGCTCTCGCTTTATGACAGCACTGTTGTTTATTTTATCGGCAATGGATACTAATACTCATTTCTCCAGCGCCTAAGCAGAAAGCCCAGAAGATGTCCATCAGCACCTTCTTAGCTGATGAGAGTAAGTTAACCCCGTGAATCTCCGCGGGGCGATCAGTGCTAAATCATTAGACTTTGGCTCGTGGGCCGACGAGATGGATGACATGCCTTTGCCTGGTAAGTGACAGATTCCATTCCAATGATCGGGACTAGATGACCTCGTACTGATACAAATGACTACTAGCCGGTACGTTGACACTGCTTGCTCACGATGTTTGCTACCCACCTGGATAGACATGATCTAATACAATGTAGCCCCTCCTCAGCCCAGGTTTGACAGCGATCGCCGTGCTGGTGGCCTCTCGTCCGCTGGATTCGGCAGTGGCTTCGGTGGTACACATCCCTCCTCCCCCTTTATGGTATTTTACTTCATCTGACAACGAGAAACAAGACCGTGAACGTGGTGGTTACGCCGTGAGGGAGCCCCTCCCCCTCCCCACCCAGCCTCCGTATACTGCCCACGTCGGAAACTTGTCCTTTGATGCGACTTCGGCTGATATCTCTGACCTCTTTGTCGACTGTGCTGTGACGAACGTTCGTATTGTGGAAGATAAGTTGACGAAAGCCCCTAAGGGCTTCGGATACGTCGAATTCGAGACCGTAGACGGTTTGAAGAAGGCTCTCGACCTCTCCGGCGCCACCCTGCAGGGAAGAGCCATCCGTGTCAGCATCGCAGAGCCTCGTAAGTGTTTCTCGATATTAGGTTCATTATACGCCCACTGACACTTCTACAGCTAAGGAACGTGATGTCAAGGAATTTGACTGGACTCGCAAGGGCCCTCTCCCCGCCCCCGAGGCTCCGCGCCGTGTGCCTGACCGCTCCTCCTTCGGACGTAACCTGGACAATTTCTCCGATGCTGGTAGCGAACGTGCTGGAGGACGCCGCAACTTCGAATCCGATGGCAAGTTCCGCGATTTCGGCAACTGGGAGCGAAAGGGTCCTCTCTCTCCTACCGGCCCAGTGAGAGAAGGTGGCCGTCCTCGCACCAACGAGGGATCGGGTTTCAGAAAGAGCTCACCTGGCTGGGGTGAGGGACGTTCCCAGGATGGCTCAAGGCCCCCACGACGTGAATTCCAAGAACGGGCACCTACTGCAGCTGAAATGGACAACGCCTGGAGATCCAAGATGCGTCCTGATCAGCCTAAGGAATCTAGCAACCCTCCTTCCCCCGCTGCCGCTCCTGCATCCCCTGCCGCCCCGACGAGGCCAAGACTGAACCTTCAAAAACGAACTGTGACCGACGCCGTGTCTAGCCCGGCTGCGAGCACTGGAACCGGGGCCAGCCCATTCGGCGGCGCCCGCCCGATTGATACCGCCGCGAGAGAGAAGGAAGTTGAGGAACGGCGCCAACTAGCTTTGCGGCAAAAGAAGGAAGCCGACGAGAAGGCCAAGGCTGAGAAGGAGAAGCAGCGACCTGCCAAGGATCAGGCCAAGGGCGACAAGGCCGGCACATCCGCTGATCCTAACGGTAGAGATACTGCTGATACCCCTCAGGGTGCGAAGAACTTCGAAATCCTCCGGCGGGCCGGTGAGGACGAGAGTGGTATGGCCGCTGATCAAGATCAATCAGAGGAGACCAAGCCTGCTGCGAAGGCTGAAACCTCAAATGACGCCGCCACTAGCAAGGAAAACGGTAGCTGGAGGCGGGGTCCTGATCAGCCAGCCGATGCTGCTGACGAGGAGGGCTGGAGCACCGTGAGCTCGAGGCAACGTAACAACCGCCGTGGAGCCGGCCGTTCGTTCGCATAGATCTAACGATACCCCGAATGCAGTCATTGCTCCCCCGAAACTTCACATTCTTTCCAGAGCGAAATCCTGCTCACGAGGCTCTTCGTATGCTGCCTTGATTTTACTGTCGCTTGCGGCTATCTCCAGGTAGCGCGTTTTCGAGGATGCTCTGCGAACAACGTTCCTTTCAATTGATGAGATTTTTTGGCTATGTTAATGACTGTTTGTTTTCAATACCAATCGACCCGCTTCTCTCTGCTCTCCATTTCTCTCTGATTGATTCACGACTTTTTCCGTCAGTCAAGATCCCCGATTCACGTCTAGTCTTTGCTACCGTTGTCCGGCATGTCGAAAAGTTTTCTATGTTTCTTTTTACCCCCTCTTCCTAGTTGCCCTTAGTTTCCTTCCGAGCTAGTGATTCTCATGTATGTGAATGGACTTAGTATACACTTGTGACCTTTACGGCCAATCTGGATGGAAAGACACTATGGTATTTTTAACGATGGTTTCTTTTTCTTCCGCGTTCCTCGGCTTTGTTGTGTCCAGTGATTCCCCCCTTTCGTTATCTTGTTCGGGATCGGGGATGGCGTGCGGAGTCCTATTCTTCTTGTTCTTCTAACGGAGCCATGTCCCCCTTCCTAGTTGACGAGACAGCCATGCGAATAAGATGACGACTCAGCGACCTGAAGAGGTAATGTCTCGGAGCCAAAGAACGGTAGTCTATCTTACAAGCCAGGCTTATAAAAGTGAACCAAAACCAAAAGAGACAAAAAAAAAAAAGACTATCTTCCCCTTGTGCTCTTTCTCCCACTTTTAATCCCTGATACTGGTAGCTATATACGGAGCTTATGACATGGGATCCCGCTGGGTTTTTATTGTATTTTCGTCGTGTCGTGATTAGCTCTTTTGTTCTGTTAACCCGAGGTGATAGAATGAGCAATACTGTTTTATTTTTGTTCAAATCGCTAGCATCCATAGGCTTCTAATTTAATCCCTGTAGAACTGGACGAAGCGAGAGGCCGTAGTGGCCATGGCCCACCTAATGAGTAGTCTACTAGATAGGCTTTTCTCATTCTGATACCCCGAATAAGTAAACCGATCCACTTGGGATGCGGACGGGGAGGCTGGGGGAGCCTTTCAATCATGCAATCAACCCACACTTGCTGTCGACCGAACCAGATTTGGAAAGATAAGCACACAAATATACTTTTTGGCCAACTCACCCACCACTATCATATTATTTTCGGCATATCTTTTCTGCGTTACTACTAAAGATCTATAGATCTATATTTAATGAAGGAAATGTGTCTTCTTCGTTCTTCTACTTGTACACATTTGTTCTTTTATTTCTGTTCTTGATACATACCCCCCGCAGCCCGGCTGAACGAAAGTATGCACCGGACTGATATCCAAGATGATGTGCCGGTGGCTTCCCCGCCGTGGAAGCTGGAGTTTCGGTCGTCGAGGAGATTTGTGATCTCGGTGGTTTCGATGGCTGTCTTTACGGTTTGCAGTCATATACCTGGTTCTCTTTGGTGATGTATGCTAAACAGTGATGGTAGGATATTTTCATCTATGGCATGGTGTGTTATAACGCAACTGCAGATTTCTTGCGGGTTAAGTGCTGATGGATTATGGGCTGATTAGATCGTTCCAATCCTGCCCGTGGTTCTGAAAACGCGGGTGGTTGTGCCTGATGATCAATGTATGTGGTTTTCTGTCCCCTCCCCCTCTGCGGTTGAGATACGTTGACAAATCATTGACAAAATCATACAGTACAGCAATGGATGTCTATCATGCTTGCCGCGTTTGGGGGTGCTATCTTTGTTGGATCTCGTAAGTTCTTTTTTCTTACAGTCATGAGCAAACCTGATTGACCCCATGGATATAGCTATATTCGGCTACTTTGCCGACAAGGGTACCTCCCGCCAGGTACCGTTCATCTTCGGTCTACTCGCGTTGGGTGGTTCGACGATCATGTTCTGGATTGCCCGGACACTCTCTTCGTTGGTCATTGCACGAGTCCTGCAGGGCTTGTCTGCGGCTGTCGTCTGGACGGTCGGCATGGCCCTTGTTGTGGATACGGTGGGAAAGGACCAAGTTGGAGCGGCTATGGGATATGTATCCATGTCTATGACAGTGGGAACTGTTTTTGGTCCTTTCATCGGAGGGGTCGTGTGAGTTATTTGTTGAATACAGATGCCCTTACCTCGCTGACCTGTATAGGCTATCGCGGATAAGTTACGATGCCGTATTTACGATCGCCGTTGGACTAGTCGTCCTGGATATCCTCCTTCGACTTATCATGATCGAGCAAAAGACCGCATTAAAATGGACTCAGCCACAGATCGCTAATGAAACAGAGGGGTTGCTGAGCAGGGCGGACGAAACTGGCAATGGCGTGTATCAAGCCACCAGACAGGATTGCTCTGAAGGATCAGTCGATCACCGGCATTCCGTTTGTTGGCCGGAGACCAGGGGCGAGCCAATTGCGAGCGGAAGGACATCTTCTATGCCACCTATCGTGCGTTTGATGTGCTCTAGCAGCGTGTTGCTCTTTTTTGGAGCGACTATAGTCGATGCCATTCTGTGGTCTTCTTTTGACACCGTATGCAGGGCCCTAGTCACACTCTCTTGAATGCTTTATTAACCAGTAGCGGTAGGTGCTTCCGCTTCATGTGATGGAAACATTCAACTGGGATCCCTTTTGGGTCGGAGTCTGTTTTCTGCCGTTGTTCGCGCCATCCTTCTTTTCTCCTCTAGTCGGTAGGTTTGGTGATCAGCAAGCTGAGCGTCGTTTGCATTAACTGATTTAAACAGGCGATGCCGTTGACCGCTACGGATCCCGAACAATAGCGTTCCTTGGGTTCCTGCTGGACTTCCCTGCGTTCTTCCTCCTTCGGCTCATCACACATGACACGACACAGGACCAAATTCTCCTTTATATATTTCTATTTATCGCAGGTATTGCATCGACCCTTCAGATGGTGTCCCTCATGACGGAAGTCAGTCTCGTCGTTGAGCGACATGAGAAGGAATCGCCGGGAATCTTTGGGAGTCAAGGAGGCATGGGGCAAGCGTATGGACTATTCAATGTCGCCTGGTCGGGTGGCCAGGTATTGGGACCATTGATCGCGGGGCTCCTGAGTGATCGGGGTGGGTGGGTGACGATGGTGAGCGTCTTTGGAACTATGAGTGGCGTCACTGCGGTGGTTATCGGCTTCTCAGATAAAAAGGTTCTGAGGTGTTTCAGAAAACAAACATAGCCTTGTGTTGGCGAGATTTAGATAGTCCGGTATTTTGTCATATGCGAACAAGTTTTTCAATCAATAAAGGTGTAATAGCAGTTCTTAAAATTGGTTTACAACCAATGCTGATCGTGTGTGGCGGCTTCTCGAGACGAAAGTATATCCACGGTAGACTTGCATGATATCAACAGCCGATAAAGGCTCCCTTCACACAGGAACAAATAAAGTTTCCCTGAAGAATGTCAGATTTTCACAGTAAGGGGAAAGTGGAAATATAGTGACTACAGATAACTAATGGCTGGTATGTGTTTCTTAGGAGATACCGACGGTTGTTGGAGAGATGGCGGGAACAACAAGGGTTGCAAGGGGGAAAAGGGCCGCAAGGCTGGACGTTAGGAAGTCTCCTTGTAAGGAGGAATTGCTTCCAGGAAGTCACCTCCTGGGAAGACAAAGACCAGAGAAGTAATCTCCCTTCCGAACAATCAGATTGTAAGCCAGCTCTTCTGAATTCCTATCAGCAGTGGAAGAAATCAAGTCGTTGAATTACGAAAATGACCCATCACAACCATGCGGGGACTAAAGGGATCCACACACGTGTGTCTGGCATCTGCTCAAGCGACAATCTATAATTTAGATCTGGGGGAGCAGGGTGAGATGGTGTGATTGCCCGAGAGACGATCATGTTAAATACCGATACTATTGACCTGGATTCTAAGGAACTCACTAGTAAATCCGGTCCCATGTAAAAAATGACGGTGGTTGGATTGTCCCCTTCCCAATAAATCCACCCCCAACTACTAAGAATAGATTAGAATACAAGTAAACAATACATCAGCAATACAACAGACAACAAGGCGCCTAACGTCGGTAACTCCACACTTGCTTACCCGCCATCATTGCATTTATTCCATCTCTGTTTGTCGACAGAAAGCTTTCTTATCCTTCTGGAAATCCTACGGCTGGCACCCTTCCTGTCCTTCTTCCCTGTTTGGAAGCAATGCGTGTGTGTGTCACTAACATTTAGCCTTTTATTTCTATTTAACTGGTTCGTCCCGTTCTCTGAAACTCTTACTTCAAATTTCTGTGACACGAGATCCTTCTCATTTCCCTAACCCAATTTCCTGCCGGACGTTTGCGCTGTCATCTTCAAGCCTGTCAACAATTCATGCAAGACGCAAGATGTCAACCACAACGACCACTGCCGCCCTCACATCGACCACGCTGGTCGGCATGCTTCCCACAATAAACGCGACGGGTTTAATTCCCGGGAAGAACTGTCCAACCTGTGGCCAGGAGACCACTCTAGTACAAGAGCACGCCGCTGACCAGAGGAGGATCAAGGAATTGGAGGGGCAGATTAGCTTCCTGAGTGTCCAGGCTGCACAAACAGGTAAATAAAACCACATCATGATATGCTTCAATGGTCACTATGACTTTACACACACACGAGATGTTCTATACTGACCGTAATCTCTCTTGGCAGCCGAGAAAGTCGCCGAGTATGAGCACGAAATCCGTCATCTCCGGACCCAGGCTTCCACATATACTTCGCGAAATGGCTCCTCCATATCATCTACGTCCTCAAACGAAATAAACCGGCCCCTATCACCTCCCTCTAATTCACAAGGACGTCTATCGACTCTCACATCCTTTCTCCATTCCCGTGGACCAAGCAACGCATCCCCGACCCAAACACCCGCGCAGCCCGTCTCCCAACCTCCGTCGCGGCAACCCAGTCCAGACCACACAGCCGAGCTTCAAAATGCGCTAGATCGCGAACAGAGCCTGCGACGAGCAGCGGAATCACAATTATCGCAGGCCAGTTCCGAGCTAGAGGAGCTAACAGCGCAATTATTCAGCCAGGCCAACGAGATGGTGGCCCAAGAACGCAAGGCCCGTGCGCGGCTCGAGGAGCGAGTAGCGGTGTTAGAACGTCGGGACGTCGAGAAGAGGGCCCGTCTGGAGCGACTCGAGAAGGCGATGGAAAGGGTCGAGCGCATTCGGGCACTCGTTGGTCAGTGATTTGCGCTGAACAGGAGTTTACAACATCCTTCTTTTTTCTCCCATTTTTCACCTTAATATTCTTTTGCTTGGTTGGTTATATCTATACCCTGGTGTTTACAGCGACTGCCCCTCGTGGTTTGGAATTTGACATGAGACATGACTCGATGCTTTTCGGGTTCATTGCCCATGAAGGTTATGATCAGCATCTATGGCGTTGGGCACTTATTTTTGGTTTTGTTTTGTGGGCAGTCGCGGGGCGTTTGTTTACGTATGTATATGTCCATATTGTCTATATCGATGTACATGCGACGATATATATTCGTGCTTCTCTGCAGATATACAGCGATCAGAATGTCTCTATTAGTTCACATACATAACATTTCCACATACGTCCAGACTACCCAAGAGCTCCAATATTGAGATACATTTTGTCAGTCCTATCCGGAAAAAATAAAATCAAAAACAATCACCTTCAAATCCGCACGTTTTTGTGAACCCCGCCAAATCAGGAACTAATTTGGGTGACCCACCCAACCCGGTTAATATCAATAAGAATTGTAACTTTAAGGGTTCGACCTTCTACTCATACTCCTAAATTCTCGAACTATCGATTGAATAATTTGTCCCAATACATATACATTTTTTTTTGATTTCTTTATATACCGACCCGCATATACGGATCATCGACCCAACTAGAACCAAAATACTAATTGAAAAACCCCAACCATGCCTATCGGCGTAGCCATCATAGGAAGCGGTATGTTTTAACCACAAATGGAATATTTGTATAAAAGTGACAAAGCCCTAACGGAGAAGACAGGGAACTTCGCCCGCGAAGAACACCTGGTATGTGTCTTCATAGGGAACGCTCACTTGACACGGCCTTAACCATGGATAATATAATCAGCCCGGCGTGCAAGCATCGGATGCATTCGACCTGAAAGCCATCTACTCGCGGTCCCTCACTTCGGCCCAAACCCTCGCAACTGGGGTCTCCGGAATCGACCTGTACTCGGAAGACGCAGGGTCGGGGAAAAGTTACGACGATTTGCTCAGTCGGTCAGATATTACGGCCGTTATTATAGCGTGCGTTGGTTCTACAGTATACTACGAGAGTTGACAGGGGAGCTAATTCGAATACTCACGATCTAGTCTCCCCATCCTCGCACAGCCAGAGTTCATCCGCAAAGCCCTGACAGCGGGGAAACATGTTCTGTCCGAGAAGCCAATCGCGAAGGATCTATCTGCGGCGCAGAACCTGATCAACCTCCACAACTCCCGTATCGTTAGCAGCAAGACTGTGTGGGCTGTGGCTGAGAACTGGCGGTATATGAGCAAGTTTGTGCGGGCTGCGGAGGAAGTGCGGAGACTTGGCGGTGTGAAGAATTTCCGTGTTGTCATGAGGAGTATGATTAAGCCTGGGTCGAAGTATCATAGTATGTCTTTTCCTCTTCTCCTGGGTATCGATGAAGGAGGTACGGGATGGGTGGGCTAACGTGAGGGAGCAGAAACGGAATGGCGTCGGAAACCCGAGTACCAGGGTGGGTTTGTGCTGGACGGCGGTGTTCATGTTGTTGCTGCGCTGCGGTTGGTTCTGGGACAGAGTGATGGTTTGGCTATGGTGGCTGCGCATTCGTCGTTGCGACAGGAGCATCTTGCCCCCGTTGATACTGTTGATGCGTTGGTTAAGACCCGGTCGGGCGCTACGGGTGTGCTGTCTGTCTCTTATGGTTCGGAGATCAACGATTCCGTTTTTGAGTTTACGTGCGCGGACGGTGTCGTGACATTGGATTTCGATCGATTGACGGTGAATGGTGAGGGTTATGATGTGCCATTTGAAGGTCGCGGCGTCAATAAGGAGCTTGCTGAGTTCGCAGAGTCCATTACCACTGGAGCTGGGATTGCGACCCGCTTGCGACCGGAGGAAGCATTGGCGGATTTAGAGGTAATGGAGGGCATCTTCACTAGTAGCGAGAAGTCTGGCGAGAATAGACACCTGCACCTGCAGATCTGAGAGGGCTAGAATTATAGACCAATGCAATAGAACAGATGGATAATACAATGCACGTACAATATGGTATTGGAGTAGAATTGGAGATCAGGACCAAAGCATAACAATTGATACGGGAGCCGATAAGAAACGGGAAGGTAAAAGACGGATGACATAATCCAACCGACGATCGACACCAGACCCAAAGCGGCAAGTCTTGGCAGGGCTTTCACCCTAATTTTCAGCTTAGCGAGGCGTTAGCACCCGACTGCACTGGGCGGCCAACCTCAGCGCGAAATTTTGAGATCGAATTCGACCCGTCACGACAACTCGAGCGCCAGCGGCCTTACGAAACCGACAAGGTATGTTCTATGCCGGGATGATGGCTGTATATTGTCATTATTATTGATACTAATTGGATTCCAGATGGTCCTCGCAAAGAAGCACGTCCCCATCGTCAAGAAGCGTATGTCAAAATCTTGCCTTCCTGTTTTCCAGCCCAGCACATCCACCACAACCCAGGTCCCATGTATAGCAAGAGTGTCAGAGAAAGGAGGGATTTAGGAGGTTTCGCACGAAATTTTTCGATGAAAAACGGAATGATATCACTGTTCGAAGGGGAAAAAATATCAAGGGATTCGAGAACGACTTGGCAACTTCACGAAACACTTGGGATACATCGGGACTTTGGGGGACACAATCTACCACACGTACACACTCGGGTTATTGAAAATATCGGGGAAAACTGACAAGGATTGCAATATACAGGCACCAAGACCTTCAAGCGCCACCAGTCGGACCGCTTCAAGTGTGTGCCTGAGTCATGGCGCAAGCCTAAGGGTATCGACTCCCGCGTCCGTAGACGCTTCAAGTCGAACATTCCCATGCCCTCCGTACGTTTTTCTTCTCCGTCTCAGTCTCGATCCGGAAGTGAAAGATCACAGCGCGACCGGTGATCGAACTTACGATTCATACATCGGAACAATGAATACTGATATGGCTTGATTCGATAGATCGGCTATGGCTCCAACAAGAAGACCAAGCACATGATGCCCTCCGGCCACAAGGCTTTCCTCGTCCAGAACCCCAAGGACGTTGAGCTCCTTCTCATGCACAACCGCACCTACGCTGCTGAGTACGCCCACCCTCTCAACCAAACTATGCAACGCAGAAAAGCGGATCAAACTAACACAATATAACTTGTAGGATCGGCCACGCCGTCTCCTCCCGCAAGCGCGTCGAGATCATCGCCAAGGCCAAGGCTCTCGGTGTCAAGGTTACCAACCCCAAGGGCCGTGTCACCACTGAGGCTTAAATGCTTTAGCCTAATTAAATCAACAATTAAAATCATTATACCAAAGCATTTTCAATTGGAGATGGGGATCTCTGGCAAAAGCTGCAAGGTGTCGCTTCGGTTTCTTGTATGGTCGTGAATTGAAATGAATCATCTCGTGGCGATAACGAATTTCTCTTTATGTGCATGATGGGGTGGCTGGTACCAGCACTGGGATATAAAATAGAAATGGGGGCTGTTCCATTGCGATTCCCTTCCTCGGTCTTGTCTCTCTTGGTCGGGCGGTAGTGTTTGAACGTAGGGCGTGCTTTGATCTGGTTTTAGATGTGAACTCCGTCACTGAGTTCTGCTGTGTTGAGGTCCGTAGAAGAGTCCGGAATCTGGTACCACTTCCCAAGTTGTAGTCGCAAAGTATTTGCGCCACCCTACCTACACGTTTATGCCCCTAGCAGTTGGGACTCTTGGAATCAGTATATTCATGGATCAATGCTAGGCCAAGTACCCACAACTCTACCTATACCAGCGGCGAATAATGCAGCCAAAAACATAGAACTCCTGATATCCATGCATACAGGTATCACGTAGTCGTAAACATCAAGTCTATGCAAATATAAGAGCAGAAATTCTAAGTCGACAAGGAAAGCTCAAGCAGGTCGCTATTGCTCTGCAGCTTCTCGCTATCCACCACTCCCACACCCCGAACAAGGACATTTCCTTGACCCCTCTTCGGCTTATCTTCATCCTCCATGCCCTCTGGCACAGTTCCATTCCCAATCACAATCTCTTCTTCCTCCGGAACAGGCTCCCAGTCAGGGACTGCCCGAGGGCCGTCCATGCCTGACGGGGGAAGGGCCCAAGAAGGCATCTTGCTGCGGTACTTCCAGTCACCATCATCTGAAGAGTAGGCAACGGCATGAAGGAAGATACCCAGCTCGTGCACACCAGGATCAGTATAGAGGTCCGTACCACAGACATCACACTGTTCGCCGGAAAGCCTCTCGCCCTTACGCTTGTGGTACTCAACTAGGGCAGCCTCGTGCTCGCGGGACATGATGCCCTCGATAACAGAGGTCTCCGTTCCCGGTGGCACAAGCGGTGCAGCAGTAAGATGTGTCCGGTACGAAACCGTATCCGAAACCTCAGTCTTGCCCATGGTATTCAAGCGCTCCATGATCTCAACATCCCGATCACCGTTATCCTCGCTCTTCCCCAGACCGGGCCCAAACACACGACGATTCGAATAAATCGGATCATTGGTAATCGGATGGCCCAGGAACTGAAGGTGGACGCGAATCTGGTGCGTCCGTCCCGTCAACGGCAAACAGTGCACAATACTATATCCATCCTCCTCGTTCGCATACGCAGGTGGCGGCGTCGCAGCCCGGTCCTCATTCGCCGCGGCCGGCTCTGGATCATGAGGGGGGTAGTAAGCCAAGCGGCGGAACTTCGTCTTCGCCGTCTTACCGGTGGCACGGACACGGTTCAGCCCCAGCTTCGGACTAACCTGCATAATGGGCTGGTCGCAGACCACCACCCCGTCCGGGAACTTGCCCTTCACTCGAGTCACGTACTCCTTGTGCACGGTCCGCTCTTTAAGCCTGCTGGCTACCATCTCTGCTGCCTTGGGCTCTTTGGCGATGAACATCACGCCAGAGGTTAACCGATCCAGTCGATTGCAAGGCCGGGGCACCCAGCCACCACCGCGCTCGGAGCGGAGGATCTCAATGACGGAGTTGTAGTGATACCGACCGGCGGAGTGGACAGGCACACCGGCCGGTTTGTCGATGACAATGAGACCATCGTCTTCGTGGATGATGCCGATATCCTGGCTTGTGACGGGGGGTTCGTGTCGGTGCAGGGTATGCGAGATGACATCGCCGTTCTTCACTTTCGTATTGGGCCCGGCTGGTTTACCATTAACGGCGACTTTACCGGCTGCCAGAGCCTCTCTCTAGAGATGTAATTAGTCAAAATGATCCAGCGTAGTTGTGATCCGGTGTGTTGGAACATACGTAGTACTCCGGTGGGCGATCGCGAAACTCGGAGATAAAGATGTCGACTAGTTCCCGACCCCTCCATCGCTCTTTGCAAAATGTGTTATATGTGTAATGGTATGGACTGACGCGGCGAAATCCGCCCTCGAAGTAATAGGGGCCTGTCGGTGGTTCGCAGGGTGTTACAGCCACTTTGGGTGGTTCTTCGACAGGGTCCGGAGGAGGCACCTTGAGCGTTGCATCGACGGGAGTGAGAGCCATGGTGGGAGCAGGAATCCTGCCTTTTCGCACAAGGTAGGCGAGGATGCGAGGTGAGGGAGCCAAGTTAAAGAGCTAGGGAGGGTATCACGAGTTCATGGGCGGTGGTTTTAACTGAAGAAAAGTACTTTTACGTGGGGTCGGAGGGGCGTTCCTGAATTTCAAAAAAAAAAAAAAAAAAAAAAAGAGTTTATGTTTCTTGGCATTAATTTTATGCCCCAGAGTCATGGAACCAACCAAGATCAACATCCATTTAGCAAGAACGAGTGGAAAAAGAGTAGTCCTTCTATGTTGAAAGAGGGAAAATACTTGGAAAGCTATAGTAGATGATAAACTCATGAAGTACAATACTTTGATTAACCTTGGTCTAACTGTGTTCCCCAAGTTTATACAGTACTATATATATATTTATTAAGTTCATAGATCTCTAACTCTCTTACTTCGTAAATTGTATTATGGAATCCTATTGGGATAGACTTGAGAACAGGCCATTAAAAAGTAAATAAGACTTGTCATAATCCCGTCTATTGACCCCTTCTCAAGTTGCTAACATCTATTGGCTATAGCTATGTACTATCCTTCAATGTATATTTGTGGCTCTCTGCATCCTTGATTGAAAGGTTGGAATAGATTTCCAACGCAAAAAGCATTAAATTTACTGAAGAATGCGATAGAAGTGCCATCGACGTGGTTCAATGCAAGAGATCTGGACACGAACACTCGATAATTATCCTGATATTATTGAGCAAATAATATTACCGTGGGTGAAAAGTTCATCTCCTACCACAATCGCCCACGGTACATGACATTTTCGGGGTCCTCTCGAAGATTATCTGTAGTAAATGGTCATGTTTTGGCCGAAGGGATTCCGTGAATCAGCAAAGTCAACGGCTAAGCTACTGTATGGGTTAACCTTATTCAATGAACTTTGTAAGAAAAAATATAATCTGTTCAATATGTCCTTGTTTCTTCTCTTTCATTTACTCTTTATTCACTTCTTATTTCACAGATGTGTAGTGAGAATAGACTGCCCATTTCCTCTCGATGTTATTTCTGCCTAGTGGTATGATTCGACTCTTGTTATCTTGTTCCTCTACAACCTGTATCAAGAAGGAAGGAAGGACAATAGCAGATTAATTACAATGGATTCGAATATTAACCGATTGCTCTCTCTTTCTAGTCGTCATATCCAGCAGAGACAGTCTCGTGCAGACACCCCCTAGTACTTTTTCATCTTGCCATACACTCTTAGGGTAAACCTAGAATGATCAACTCCGACTCCTACCCATCATATTTCAAGTACACTGCCTGATAGGAATCGGATATCCCCCAGGCCACGTCCACTGGCAAACCTGCGAACAACAAGAAGAAAAATGTAGACAAGGCCAACCGTTTGAATGACAATGATCTTTCGTTCCCTTGGTACTGGCATTCGACGGTGCAGCAGTTTCCACACTTTGACAATCTTTACCCTGGACGCATGCGCTATTATTGGTATTTGGGGTATTATTTTGCGACTGGAGAGTGATATTCTTGGATGAGTTATGGTTTTGCAAAGTTTGATTGTGGACGTCAGCTTTGTGGTCGATCGATGCTGCTAACGTAGCAGTAGCAAATATGACGATGGTGGTGAGGCAGAGGATGTGCATCGTGTTCTTAGTTTGCATCGTGTTTTTGGGTGTAGAGTCTTAGACAGTTCTGGATTGATGTGCTCGGAGAATGCTTGTTGGATTGGTCTTCGTCCTCCTAGCGATCAAGCTTGGGTGGGATGAACTGATGGTGAGGTGTAGATGATAGTGTATTGGTGAGTCTGTTTTGGACGACGATGATTTGAGATGAGATCTTGATTCGTGCTCTTTCTAGTACTTCATGACTTGGCGACTACTAGTAATAGTAAATAAATACTCAATGATCCCAGCTGCTGAATTCCTAATTGTACAATGCGGTTGATACTCAAAGAGGCAAGTACAATCTGTAGTACCTGCAATATGTCTGATATATTGCACTTGAGCGTTCTCCTTCTACTGGAATGACTATATTAAATCTACTACTGAGTATATGGTAGATCGTTGCAGGCGAGCCCGCTTGTAGGCACCGAGTTCAGACCGAAGGGCTTCGGTACTGACAGTTCCTCATAGCTGTTTAGAATTAGAGAGTAGCACAAGATGTCGACAAACATCGAGCTCATACTACCCTCCATTTTGATCACAGGTGATAAAAACCACTCATCTACATAGCCTCTCGACCTTCTTTAGCTCGCCAAGGGCATTACCCATGATGCCACCGTTTGACCCATAAAAATCTCACACCATGTTCGGGTATACAGACTAAACGGCCACTAATGACCCCCCTTCACGTTTATCACCGATATAACCCTTATCAGATCCGCACTCTTCCCGTGCCCCAAGACCTCCACCGAGTATCCTGGGTCTATTCCATCGCAGTGGGTTAAGCACGATATTGACTATTGACAAGATCGCCGATCTATTCCATTATAGGTAAAGATCCGGCAAAAGCAACCTCGGCTGAATCCTTCCTCGGAAATAACATTTAATATGGACATCTCCATCTGAATCCGATAAGAATATATTCCGAGGCCAACAAGCATATCAATATCCCAGTCCGATAATCTTCACCCTCAACCTCCATACTGTATTCCTCCATTAGCAGACCAGCACAAGGTACCGAAAAGAAAAATGGCCCCGAAAGAAATCGAAGCCAAGAAACGCCGGACCCGAAGCGACTACGTCTTCCACCAAGTATACCGAACAAGATGGTAAATACATCCTTATCTCAGATTCAACCCAATGCCCCGAATAAATTATAAACAAGAAGAGAAATAGGTTTGATAACGATATGTACGCGCACCTCAACAACACCGTCTACGCAATGCTCTTCGACTCCATCGTCAACAGCTGGCTAATCGCCGAATGTGGCATGGACCCCTTCTCCATCAACAATAAGGGCTCGGATTCGTCAGCAAAGACCAACTCAGCGTCTCAGGTGGGTATCATGGTCAACTCGTACTGCGATTACTTTGCCTCGGTTGCTTTCCCCGATGTGCTGGACCTCGGACTTCGGGTTGCGAAGCTCGGTACGTCGAGTGTTGTCTATGAAGTTGGGGTGTTTAAGCAGGGGGAGGAGGAGGTGAAGGTTGTTGGGGGGTATATGCATGTTTTTGTGGCGAGGGAGACGATGAGGCCGACTAAGGCGGGGATGGAGGAGAGGGTGAGGAAGGGACTGGAGAAGTTGGTTAAGGGGGATGGGAAGGAAGGGGCAAAATTGTAGAGGCTCTTTATTCTTTCTTTTCTTTTCTTTTCTTTTTTTTTTTTTTT